TAATTAAATAATTGATCAGCTATAGCCGGCTATTTAGCCGCGGCTAGCCGGCTATGAGCGGCTAGCCGGTAATAGCCCAGCCGATAGCCAGCCGTAGCCAGCCGTACCCATCCCTAATTCCGGAAGCTCGGATTACACGAAATGGTAAAATTTTTTGGACATCACTAACCTACTAGGATTTAACCCAATGACGTAAATATTTCTATTATGATTGGTCATATGACTAACATCAGTGCTGAAATTGGGTTGCGTCGTTTGTGATTTAGCGTTAGGTAGCGTTCCCACAAAAAATTGTTCATCCCCGGTAATTTTGACCAATCAAAATTTAAGATTAGATGTGAAACAAACGTGTTTTGTTTTCTAAGTAAAAAAGTTACATGTAAAATGAAAACCAAGAAAACCGTGTTATAGTTAGGGTTAGGATTAAATCAATATAATGCTTACTAGTAAAACTTCACGAGAACATTTTTAATTAGGTCGCAGAAGGTGGTGTTACACCCGAAACTACCTCTTATAAGTTCCGGTATAACGGTTTTACTGTAGCGACGGATATACTAAAGAATTAATAACGATTGCCGTTTTACGCTAAGTAAATAGAGGGTATGGGGGTTAGTTGCAGTTACGCTTTTAAGAGGATTATGTGATTTGCTATTACAAAAGAGGCAAACGGCTAAATGTATATGGAGATACAAATAGTCGTATAAACAAGTTTATTATTTATTTGATACGGTTCTCGAGTTATACGTGTATGAAGACACTATAACCGATCAATAATTTATCAGAGCGACCCGTGTATGAAGACACGATTACTCTTTAGGGGATTGTGTTTGTATGATTGATTCAATAAAGTGTTCGAGCTATTCGTGTATGAAGACACGATTACTCTTTATTTATTGTTAAGTTGTTGGAACTTCGAGTTCTGTTCCTTACAAGAGAAATATCTAAGTCTATTTATACCTTCTGAACCTTCGATTTCTGTTACTATTTTTATAAACTACAAAGTTACTAGAACCACTAAATTTAAAAGAAGCATTAGCGCTACTAGCGCTACTATCGCTACTAGCGCTATTGCAATTGGTGTTACATTATGGGCAATTGTCACATGATGCCAATTACAGCCTAATTAAAATCTTGCTTTTTTGTAAAAAAAGTGGTTTTTACGTTACACCTGATCATGAAATTCGATTGGTCAAAATTACAGGGGTGAACAATTTTTTGTGGGAGAGGTTACCGCAAATACTGAAATAACGCTAAAGTTTAAAATGCATATGCAAATGAATTTTGTGAATTTGCATATAGATATGTTCGAATTTGCATATAAATATGTTCATATGCGCAACTAAATTAAAATTTGAATTTCAGACACTAACATGTAAAAATCATTTACTATACCGAAGTAACATAAAATCTAAAAACATATACAGTCAATCTGCTTAAACCGATCTCACCAGGCTTATATGTAAAAATTTTTAAAAATTTCGGTTTAAAAAATTTACTATTTTTCTAATCCGAACTCATTAATAAAATTTATTAGTCTATCATACAGTTATACCCAATGTTCATTGTGAAAATATTCATTAAACTATATAAAATTTTTAATCAATACATTCTAAAATATATATCTACTCTTAAAAAAATTTGCTCTGTTAATTTTTTATTAATTCAAATACATTCGACCATTTAGTAATCATATATAACTCTACAATTATAATATACATAGAAATTTTACAAAGCATCTCTAGGTTGTGGATCATTTTGCATAGTAACTGTTGGAAATAGAAACGGTTAATTTTAGAAGGATGGTAAAAAACGTTTTAAAAAAAAATTTTAAAACATCGACGACTGATGTCGAAAGTCGGACTTAAACTGATACTATTGCTTCTGATTGGTTAATTTCAGTTTCAGCAAAAAATGTATTCTTTTTAATTAAATTTGAGTTACAAATATTACTGTTACATGTAAAAAAAATTACGAAAGAATTATAAGAAATGTATCTTGACCGATTTTGACCGGAATTAAATGTAGGTGAAATGAGCATATCGAGTGGATTGTCGGTGAAGTGATACGGAGTCATTTTAACAGTCTGATTTTTTTCAATTTCAAACTGGTCTTAAGACTAACTGTGCTCTATCGGCTTAGATCAGCTGCCTTACATCCCTATTAATAGAAGCAATACAATGTAATTTAAAATATTTATCTTTCTCAAGTTAATTATCATTACAACTTCGTATTGTCCAATAAACGGGAGGTATATTAAGCAAAGTCTGTCAAATTCAGAGATTATCTGCGATTATTATTTTGTGGCAATTGATTAACATCAGCCAATCATAATACGAATGTCCGTCTATGATCCTCAGCACCGTTAAAGCCTTCAAAGCCTCAACGCCGTTAAATCTTAATAATCTTCAAGAGTCAGATTAATAACTTTTTTTTCCTCAACAGTTAGCCCTATAAAAAAAAAAGTCAAAATTCTATTCGTTATTATTTTAAAAATGAGCATTTTCCGTAATAAAAATCTGGATAATACCTTTAGAATTTCCTGAATATTTCCAATTTCCTATATAATTTTTTATTTTGTAAAAAATTATAACAGGAAGTTGGAAATATTCAGGAAATTAAAAAATACTAAAGATATTATCAAGATTTTTTATTACGGAAAATACTCATTTTTTTAAATCATAATCTGAACAAAAATCTGAATAGAATTTTTTTTGTTTTTATAGGAAAATAAAAAAAATACGATGGCACAAGATCAAATCGTACGAACCACGGTTACAGAACATCGAGCAACGAAACGACCAACCGAAGATGTACCTCTCATTGTTACATTACCTTCCAAATTTCGTAGCCACGCTTCTTCATCCCGTGAACCTTTTCGATCCGTCCAGGAATCTTTTAACACCAAAGATGTAAAGTGATGATGTATCAGCAGAGGTTCAATGCTTCATAATTATGGTTGACGTCAAACTTTCGAATTGCGGCATATTGCATTTATCTATATTGTTAATCGACGGCAATGCGGAATTACGGAATTATGGAATCTTGTAAATTAATTTTGACGTCAACTATATTCATAAAAAAAGATGATCAAAATTATCGACTTTGCACTATGAACTTTGCTGAAAAAGATCGTGAAAATTCAGTAAATAAAGTATTCTCAAATGAGGATAAAACTAGTGCTCTAGAAAAAAGTATGTATTAATATCAACTGTCTATAGCTTTATATTTAAACAATTTTGCATGTTCTTTTTACACGTAGATGGAACCATCAGCTAAGAAAATACAACACGAAAATCAAAATGATTAAAATCTCTCGTTAGTATTCAAGCGCAATTGAAGTGAAATCATCATCAGCGTCAATAAAACATCAAGGATGTGTTCAATTTTAAAAATCATTATGAATTATTATAGGTTCGAGATATAGTTGGCGTCAAAAAAAAATTACTGGATTACCGCTGAATTGAGATAGTACAGCAACGCGGAATTGCGGAATAATTCGAGATATTTATCAAAGATTACAGGTTTCAATCATACGTCTTAATACTTACATAATATAATAAAACTCAATTAATATATGGTAAACTAATTTATATATTTATTATTTTATTAGAAATGCAGATTTCAATCTTGTCAATTCCAGCATCATTATAATTGGTGTGAATAAAGAACTTTTCAATATATTCAAAGTTTTGGGATTTTAGTTTATCGTATGTATATACAGTATAACTTCCCTAAACCGATATGCATGGTGGCCAGCTTTTGTATCAGTTTTGACAGGTTATCAGTTTTGAGATACTAATAGTTT